CATCATAACTTCATTCAAAGTGGACAGAAACAGAATAAAACTCACCAAAAGTGTTTTTACTGTTCCAACAATCACCAGTCAATCACTTTACATAGCTAATAGTCATTTGCTACTATATCAATCATAACCTTTAAGTTTAAGAACAAGGTGTCAGAGTTCACTGAAATCAATCACCAGTGTAAAACAGTACTGTTGAAGGCTGATCTTCTGTTCCTATGTAACCAGTTTCTGTGGCTCCAATCAACCTGACACCGCTTGCGTCAGGAGTTTATAAGAGAAGTCAGCTCTCAGTTCAAATAGGATATTCCTCTAATCACCATAATCAGCGTTATCTAAAGCAAGGATCACTTTCTGCTGCCACTTAATCAGTGGAGGATTTTCAGTCTAATTTCTCTCGGTGCCCTTTGGAGGCTGGTTGAGAGCAGTTCATCTGTTCGACACTAAATCATACAGATTACTGGTTTTGGCACAACCTTACCCAGAGTTATTTCTGAGTTTACACTACAGATGATGAGGCTCGCAGAGTTTAGAATTAATAATCACAACAACCGGAAACATAGACCTTAAATAATGTTTCTTTCTTCTGTGTGCAGCCAGGAAGTCTCTGTCCCCGGTCCTGGACAGCAGCGGCTCTCTGGTGGTGAAGAGGAGGAGTCCAGAGGAGATGGAGAAGGACCTGAGAGAAGCAGACGTGGCCACAGAGCTCAGCCTGCATCTGAAAGAGGGGCTGGGAGGTGCAGAGGGTCAGTACTTTTATAATTTACAGCCACTTTCGGGGGGAAACTTGATGACTCGTTGATATCACGTTCAGATTCTTTCCCTCCGAACCCTCGCACTCACACAGCTCCTGCTTGTGCTTCGATTTTCTCTGGTTCTGCTGACACTGTGTTTGCACTCAGATATTGTTGTTTGCACAGATTTCCTGCGCTCCAGTTTCAGTCTCCTCAGCACTCAGGCTGCGTCTGTGCACTCGTGAAACGTCTGCTCTCAGATTTCTTTCTTCGCTCTCGGATTATGGTGTAGAGAAATGATCCAATGAAATGATCCCTGCCTGGTTACGGGCGCCTTAGCTTAGCTAGAGATATTCATGTGGGACCTTCATGGTCTACAGATGTTGAATCAGGCTGGTTTTGGTGACCCCCTGTCCTTTCTTTAACACCACATCTGGCCAAACTTACATGTTCATTCTCCCCTGAGGTTGGACCCATTGTTTTGGATACTTCAGGAGTCTTCTAGTGCTGCCCTAAAGCCAGTTATCACACAGGATCTAAATCAGTGGTTCCCCACATTCTTCCTGAAGGGATCCTTTTTCTATCTCTGAGTAAACTCTCGTCCTCTAACTGACATATTTTATGGTCATTTCATATCATACTTATTGCATAACAATAACAATACAGAACAACTGATAAACTGTACAGTGAAGTTTGAGTAAAACAAGCCTAAAGGGTAAACGTGCCTTAATAGGGGTCGTTTTTAACGAACCTTGTGCTCATTGTTCTATCAGCTTTTTGTTTGAACTTTTCTAACGCAGGACCAGGCTGTTTATCAGAGATGTGTTCAGTTTATATCTTAAATAATAATCTAAACTTAAAAAAAAAAAAAGACCATTTCATTTAGTTTTCTTCACATAAATTAATAAAATGCTCCAAAGAAGATGACCCTTCCTGATTTTATTGACCACCATGACTTTAAGTTCACTGTTAGTAGATCGAAGGAGCTGCTTTGACGTTGTTCAGTGTATCTAACACTGTCTTTGTGGTGTAATGACCATTGTGGCCTCTGGGATGTGCTAGCATGGCAGTCTGATGAGCTTTCAGCCTCAGATTTACAGTATTACTCCAAATGGAGCTCTTGGTTTTGAAGCATGTTTTTCCGCTGTGTGACTTTGCCCCCGTCTCTGCTCCAGGACTGCTGAAGGCTGACGGCACCCAGGGTCCCGTCGTGTCTCTCGGCGGCTCCTCGTCGGAGAAGGCCTCCACCTCCAAGCTGCAGTACTCGGTGGAGCAGCAGCTGTACGTGGCCTCGGGATCCAGGGACGACATCTTCTCCTTGGGAGGGCCGAGCTACATGACCGCCAGCAAGAACTGTGGCGGCAGGACCCTAGGGTGCGTCTCAGAGGCCCCTCGTACGCAGGAAACTGGAGCAGGAAGCTGTTCTCTCTCTAACACATTTCTTCCTCCCGCAGGGCAACCATGTTGGACTGTGAATCTGAGAGCTCAGGAAACTCCCATCAGTCCTTGCTGGAGGGCTCCTCTGCACAGCCGCAGTCAAATGAAGGTCGGTCCACCCTCTAACTGCCGCCCTCAGGAGTTCATGTGTGATGCTTTGTTTTTGTTGTTAGCATGCTACCAGCGCCTCTAAAGCTCTCTGATTCACACGGTATTTCTGCTTTGTTTAAAAACCTTAAAGTGTTCTGTGTTACGTGTCGGATCAGTGAGCTCCTGGAGTCTCCGCTGGCTGCTCAAAGCCCAGGAAGACAAAGTGGCTTTAACATTTCATACAGATTAAACAAACTCAATATGAAGTGTTATTTAATGAGCTTTCCAGATGCTGTTCAACCCTGTTTCTAGTCTTCATGCTAAGCTAAGCTAACCAGCTGGCTGTAGCTTTATATCTAATGTGCAGACATGAGAGTGGTATTTATCTATTGAACTCTGCACCTTGAAAGCTACTTTGGTTGGACCTCTTCGAGCTCACTTCCTGTTTCCTTCACATTTTGTTGCGTTTCATCAGACAGCATAAACATTTAATATATGTTTAATACGATAAGATTATGAAAGTTAAAGCAGCTACAAGGAACTTTCTTTTTGTGTTGATTCTGTCGCCCCCTGTGGACAGAAGAGGTAGTGTTTCTACCGCTCAGTTTCATTAAACATGGCTGATCATTGTAGTCTGGAGATTCTTCCTGCATTTTATTTGAATTTTGTCCTTCAACTTGAATTTCTGAATAACCTCCAGTGAGAGACTGTTTGTAAAGTCTCGTCCTCCCGTCTGTAGATCAGTCTCCGTCTGTCCTGGTGGCAGCGACGAGCAGCGACAGCGACAGCGAGGA